TTTAAGGACTTCTAAGCTGCAATACATAATATTTTATTCTTGGATTTAAATACGATGATATGAGCAGACCTAAATCTAAATATATTGATTGCAACCCCCCCCCAATCCTTCCACACTGCCCATGCTCAAGTGCGCTCTTTTCATCACTACCCTTCCTTTTTACTTACTTTATAAAATAAAAGTGTAGTAATATGAAGTAATAGGAAAGAGGGACTGAAGGATTTGGTTCCAAATAAGGGACAGTTGGGAGCTATAACATATACGCCTATTTCTAGAAATAAACAAGACCATCATTGTTATTGACATTTTGTATTGTATTGTACTGTAAGTACTTTCATAACAGAGCAGTAAAGGGTGTAGATGCTGAAAGCAGGTAGACTGGTGTGTACAGTATGTAGGGGATCCCACCACACTCCTGACCGAGAATGCCCCAACTTCCAATGGCGATGGGGTGCTGGAATAACAGCAGATGGATCAGATAAACAAAACAGTAAGGCTGGGTTCCCACCTGGGCGGTCGAAATATGCGCGTATGACGCGTGTTTCGGGCCACATGTTTTTACCGCGATTTGCAGTCCATGAAACACGCATCAAACGCGTGTTTACGAGGGCTATCCGGCTGTATCCTAATGGATACACGCGGAAATACGCCCCAAAGAAGCTCCTGTACGTCTTTGGCCGTAGGGCGTTTTTCAGCGCGTTCCGACGCTCTGAAATACGCCCTGGTGGCAACCATGCCCATAGGAAATAATGGGATTTCACTTGCTGGGCGTTTTACAGCTCGTCGATCAGCGCTGTAAAACGCCCAGGTGTGAACCCGGCCTTAGTCACCAGCACTCCAAAGGTTCTCCAAGCAAAGTTATTCTTATTCCATGTGTAAAGTTACATCACCAAGTGTAGCAATGTTTCGGAATGCATCCGGTTCCTTCATCAGGCAAAACAAAGTGATGAATCTTTACACATGGTAACTTTACACATGGAATAAAAAGAACTTTGCTTGGAGAACCTTTAGAGTTCTGGTGACTTACTGTTTTGTTTATCTGATGTGTACATTAGATACTGGCTATGGGAAATGTTTGTGACATTTTATAGCACTGTGACTTTTTAACACACCTTTCCAGTACAATGAAATTCACTTAACTGTAGAGACACGTGCAATGATCTCACTGATCACACTGACAAGCCTTTAGGATTGATTCCAGGAGACACATGGGAACAATGAATGAGCTGATAGTGCTATGCAGCAAACACTACAATACAGTTTACTCAAGTGACCTCGATATGAGTTCTCTGTAATCCACTGTATTCAGAGTCCAGAGATTAACTCAAAGGGTTACTGGGAGTGTGCAGGAGGGTTTGACTCCAGCTAGTGGCTAGGAGAAATGTCTCCCGAGTAGGGATATTTACTAGGGATGCAACGATATATCGGCCGCCGAAACATATCGACCAAAAATGGCACTTTTGGCTAAATGCCGAAAGTGCCATTTTCCTGCCGATACATCGGCGCATCCGTGATTT